AACAAAACTACGCATTACACTGCTATATAATAAAGAATTTGACTTTCCTTTGTCTGTGGTTCCTGACAGTGAATCTTGGAATTTCCCAGTTACTATGACTGTCTTTGTTATTCATGAGCGCCTTGAATCACATCTGAGTATATGCAATGAGATGACACATAGTGGGCCCCTAGATATCATGGGAGCTGGTCATGCTAGAAAAACCAAACATCTAATTGGGTTGGGGCTTTGAGCCAATGATATCAACCCAGCCTTCAGTCCTCCAGGAAAGACAGGAGGACTGAAGAATGAGTTCAGTCATGGGCCAATGATTCAATCAATCATGCCTATGTAATAAAACCCCCATGAAAACTCTGGACATGGTGAATACATTGATATGAAAAGTGAATAACACATCCTGATTCTACAAGGAGAGGGCACAGAGGTTCTGCATTCAGGACCCTCACAGACCTCATCTTATGTATCTGTTCATTTGGTCATTTCTGGTTTGTATCCTTTCTAATAAAACTGTGGTTTTAAGTATAGCACTTTGCTGAGTTCTGTGAGTTGTTCTAGCAAATTATCAAACCTAAAAGGGGATGTGAGAACCTCTCAGATTTGTAGTCAGTTGAAAGCACAGGTGGAGCTGGGCACGTTGGCTCACGCCTGTAATCCCAGCACCAGTACTTTGGGAGCCCAGCAGATCACCTGAGGTCAGGAGTGCAGAGACCAGCCTGGCCAACATGGCGAAACACCATCTCTACCAAAAAATACAAAAATTAGCTGGGTGTGGTGGCACATGCCTGTAATCCCAGCACTTTGGGAGGCCAAGGTGAGTGGATAACCTGAGATTGGGAGTTCAAGACCAGCCTGGCCAACACGGTGAAACCTCGTCACTACTAATAATACAAAAATTAGCCAGGTGTGGTGGTGGGCGCCTGTAATTCCAGCTACTTGGGAGGCTAAGGCAGGAGAATTGTTTGAACCTGGGAGGCAGAGGTTGCAGTGAGCCGAGATCGTGCCATTGCACATTAGCCTGGGTGACAAGAGCAAAACTCCATCTCCAAAAAAAAAAAAACAATTTAAAAGTGGGTGAGCTATGATGCTGGTTGTGGTTAAAAAAAAAAGAATAAAAAACAAATAAGAAAACAAAAATAAAAGTAGGCGAGGCTGGGCACGATAGCTCGTGCCTGTAATCCCAGCACTGTGGGAGGCCAAGGCAGGTGGATTGCTTGAGCCCAGGAGTTTGAGACTAGCCTGGGTAACATGGTGAAACTCCATCTCTACAAAAAATTAGCCAGGCATGGTGTGCATGACTGTAATCCCATCTACTAGGGAGGCTGAGGTAGGAGGATTACTTGAGCCTGGGAGGCGGAGGTTACAGTGACCTGAGATCACACCACTGCACTCCAGCCTGGGTGACAGAGCAAGACCCGGTCTTTTTTTTTTTTTAAAAAAAAAGGTGGGCAAAAGATTCAGACACATCAATAAAGAAGATACAGAGATAGAGATGGCAAATACAACATGAAAAGATGCTCAGTAGTGGTCAGTTATTAGAGAAATGGAAATTAAAACCACAGTAAGATACTACTACCCACCTATTAAAATCTCTAAAACCTAAAAACTGTTCATAACAAGTGTTGGCTAGGATATAGAGAACCTGGAACTTTCATACACTGTCGGTGGGAATATAAATTGTCACAATCACTTTGGAAAATCATTTGGCAGTTTGTTAAAAAGTTAAATATATACCTAACGTATGACTCAGGTATTCTACTCCTAGATATTTACCCAAGAGAAATGAAAGCATAAGTTTATACAAAGACTTGTACACAGATGTCCATGGAAACTTTATTCATAATAGCCTAGAACTATTAATGTCTATCATCAAAAGAATAAACAAATTATGATATATTCATAAAATGTAATACTACTCAGCAGCAAATAAATGATTTATTCATAAATGCTACAATATAGACAAATTACAAAATTACTATGCTGAGTGACAAAAGCCAGACCAAAAAACGATCATACTATATATTATATGATTTCATTTGTAGCAAACTGATCTTAAAGAAAGCAGATCAGTGGTCTGGTGATGGTGGGGTCAGGGGCAAGGAGGATTAAGAAAGAATGGATCACAAAGAGGTACTATGAAACTTTGAGAGTGATGAATATGTTCATTACCTTGCTTATGGTGATGACTTCGTGGCTGTATACATATGACAAAACTTATCAGATTGGGTATTTTAATATGTACAGTTTATTGTATTTCAATTACACCTCAAGATATTTAAAAATAAAATCCCTCCTGGTACATGATTCACACTCTGTACTCTGGGTTTTAGTATTCTTATACCCATATCACATTACCAAAGGTTTTCCATATTAACCATACAAATTATTTATTTTTCTCAGGAATCACTTTAGCATCCATTAATAAATGAGTTTTTTCTATTCCCAAAGTTTTAAGAATTCAGTCAGTAATGAATACTTGTATTATTCAACAGTAAAATTCATACATAACATGTATGTGGCAAAAGTATACTAAGGCTTTGTCCTTATGACTAAGTTAATTAAGTAGAAAGATAGATTCTTAGATATTAAAACAGTGTATCATTTAAAATGTTTGATGTCTAAGCCAGCTGATGGAGAAGAGCCAATGCAGTATCCCTTCTGGAGAGATTAAGATTTCCAAGGTGCTCAAAAACAGGTACAGAGTGGAAAAAAGTTTTAAAAAAAGCAAAGAGGGAAAAATTAATAATCCCTTCACTTTTGATCACATACTTTGTCATTACTCCTAAAATATAAAGCTGTACTTGAAAATGTCATGGTGCCAAAACATGGCGGGGGCGGGGGGGGGAGGCGGAAATAATTACTTATTACACACATTGTTTTAAAATGTTGATGCTTGCCTGAGTTGCAGGGTATTAAATGCATATATATCTCCCCAAAACGTAATGCTAACAGGAGTTACTGGTAGTTATGCTTAAAACTTTCAGCTTCCAAACTGGACATAAATCTCTGGCCAAAATTCTCAGGTATTCAAGTGTTTATTCAGCATCTTCAAGATGAACAAAATTGCCACTATCTCTAAGAAAAATATAAAAAGAAAACTAACAAGTATAAGAAAAAAAAAGGATTTTTAATGAAAAAAATACATGATAACAAGGACACTATACATCAAGTTGCTATATATATATACATATGCACACACATTTTTTAAACCTCTTTTTTTAAACCTTGTACAAGTTAAACAACATCTTTCTAATACCCACATGATTAAGTATGTATTCTGACAGGATATAAAGAAGATGAAACACAAGCTGGTGGGCCTCAGAATTAGAAACTCTAATGCAGGACCAGATCCCAAAAGCTATGTTTTCTATCACTTTTGTGACATTTAGGAAACATTTACCTTGCATAAGATATAAAAGCTTTTCCTTTTAAGTCTACTAATTGTTTGTACAGAAAATCACTATTGAGGGAAAGATCCACCATGGCTGTGTTTATCTATAATTCACTGTAGTATACACAAAGTTCACTTGGAAGTTGGGAATGTGAAAACTATAATGAATAAATAAGCTGAGCTGTAATTGTGAATTTCTTACTGCTAATTTTGAATGTCCAACTCACGCCTACAGATATTACACCTTACAATACATGACACACAAAAAAACCATGTCAAACTTTGCTGTAGAGCTGTTAGAGAAAGCCAATATAGATAATGAAAATTTTAGGAGCTTGTATTTAATACTCTATACATTTCAAAATAATTAAACATTTTAAGTATGTAAACATAGTTTTCAAAAAGTGATGCTGAGCACCTTTAAACACAATACTGATACACTGTGACTAAACATGCATTTAGATGACAATGGATTTTTAAAATCTCATTTAAAAACCATTTTTAAAGAGCTACTCATTGAAATACTTACATGAAAATATTGATAGCTCCAGTTTCTACCTAAAAACCAAAAGAGTATATAATTAGGGATTTAAACTTTTCTTCATGCTCTTGGTTTTTGTGGGGTTTTGTTTTTTGGTTTATTTGTGGGAAAGTTGCTCTGTAACTTTCTGTCTGATTAAAAAACAGTATCAGAAGAGACATTCACATAGAATGAAGTGAGAAAAATATTATTTTTCTAACTATACCGAAGTTTGAGTCCTCTGGCATGTCTCATCCTCACAGGTAACTGACTAGAATTTGTATATTAACAAGCACTTCTCCTTAGCAGCTCAACATCAAAAAAGAAAGGAATGCCTCCAAAAGACTGAGTTCAATTGGTGAAATAGCTAATAATAAACCATTACCACTATTATCACTATTGAGAGGTAAAGATTTATTATTTAGAATCTTGAAAGAAAAGGATTCCATAAAAACTAGAAACAACAAATGAAAAGAATATTACCTACAGTGCAACACTAAACTATAAATTAATTTGGACTTATTCCTTTTATATACACACAGACTAAGAGAAATCTGGATTTGAGGTAATTAAGAGTTGTGTTTAACTTAGTGTAACATAATCAAATTTGGCAACCTGCCTTTATAAAATGCCAACATCAAATATTTTCAATTCATAGGAAAAAGAAAAGTAATTTTTATTAAAAATCATACATAACTAAATATTAGCTTTGCATTAAAAAGGGTATAAATAATAAACTTTACATTAAATAAAATATAAATCTAAAGAGCAACAAATATTAGAATTCCACCTACCTCTACTATAACAGTACTTTATATTTAGATACATGTCATGTACCTGAAACAAAATCAATTAAGAATGGGAGGCTGGACTTAGAAAAGCCAAAAGTGACTCATATTCATGTAAAGTATTAAGGTTAAATTTGATATTATATTGTGCATGCTTTGAATATTAAACATTGATATCCATTTAAAATATTTTTAAAATATAAAATATACCCACAAATGGTCTCTGGAGAAACAAAAGCCTTTAGGTTAATTTCCTGAAATTACAGTTGATATTTCTAGTTTACCAATCTTTTTTTTTTTTTTGGAGATGGAGTTTCTCTCTTGTTGCCCAGGCTGGAGTGCAATGGCGCGATTTTGGCTCATTGCAACCTCCGCCTCCAGTGTTCAAGCAATTCTCCTGCCTTAGCCTCCCAAGTAGCTGGGATTACAGGCGCCCACCACCACACCCAGTTAATTTTTGTATTTTTAGTAGAAATGGGGTTTCACCGTGTTGGCCAGGCTGGTCTTGAACTCCTGACCTCAGGTGGTCTACCCACCTAGGCCTCCCAAAGTGCTGTGATTACAGGCATGAGCCACCATGTCCAGCCTAGTACCAATCTTTAGACAACAGATGCTTATAATGAATATACTGTTTAGTACTTATTTGGTATTTGAAGTTAATATACTTACTTAACAAAGAAAATATCCCAGATCAGATGTTTTGAAGTTTTAAATATAAACTAAATTTTAAACTATAAATACTTACCTTAAAATACTAGAAATCCTAATACCCCATCAATTCAGTAAGAGCTCTGGCATAGAAAAATGTAACTACAAATCAAATTATTTTTTAACCAGCGCTGGATCTTCATTACAAAATAAGGGGAAAAAAAAATCCTCTGCTGTCATCAAAAAGTTTCCCAAATTATCTGTAAACACCAAGGAATTCTATTATTCTTTTTCAATTCTCTCAATTTCTACATCTTTCTACCTATAGTATTTTGCTTCCAATTTAGCACAAAGCCATGCTACATATGTTGATTTCTGTTGCTTATCTGATTAATTCAAGTAAAAATCCTCAGTACTTACCAAGACACTTTAAATTTCTATTAGATAACCACTAATATACTATTGGTTTGTAGTTAAAAGTACAAAAATTAGAAGGGAAGTGGCTAAAATGCAACTGCACAGTCTCCGCAGATATAGCTGCTGGACTTTGTGTTATGATGTAAAACCGAATACTTCATCTTTCTTAATGAGATAGATTATAAACATTTTCTTACCTGTCTGGCAATTAAAAATTTCTTCACAACTTTAAAGAGAGAACAAGTTCCTTCAGAACTTAAAAAAATTCATGATATACATACACACATACAAACATACATTCACACAATGGTGCTGTTGCTGTTGATCTTTTCTGTTTTGTAAGAACCAAAATTGAGTATTTCCAAGGATAAGTTAACTAAACTATTTGTGTCCAGACTGTATTACTGTGGATAAGTTCAAAAGAGCTTTTGAAATACTGGCCTTATTAGATAATCAAAGAGCATAAAAATTATACAAAATAAGAAGAGTAAAACATCTCTTAAGGAAGGTAAAAATATGGAACTGGCAACAAATACATCAGTTTTAAATAAAAGCTTCTCATCAAACTGGTCTTCAGTCCAATTATCTCAATGCCACGCTTTGACTATATTCACCTTCTTTTCTAAGACATCAGAAGTCACCAGAGTTGTAAATTCTGAAAAGCTTCAATAATTTATATAGCAGATAATTTCTTATAGTCCACAATTTTTTTTTGCTTCCATAGACAATGCTGGTTCTTTGGGTTCTTGCTTAACTTGGTTCACAGAAATGGTACCTTCTGGATTTTCTTCAACTTTAAAAACAAACAGAAAAATCCTAAAAGTTAATATATTTCATGACACTGGAAGAGAGGGGAAAATATTTTATATTCTAAAAATAACTTCTGTGAAAACTTTTTTCAAAGCAAACTGCAAATCTTTTCCCACAAAAGTGCCCAATCCAGAACAATTTGTGTGCAAAGAAGTAACAGATAAAGTAGGAGTTAACAGAGTTTACCTCTATGTTGACAGAGATTAGTAATAAAGCGAAGGTAACAAGGTCTTAGGTTAAACCTAAATGCCCAAGTCTTACTAGTTCCCTTTCAACTCAACATTTACTTTGTAATTCCAAATCTTCCTTTCAGCCAGGTGCAGTGGCTCACTCCTGTAATCCCAGCACTTTGGGAGGCTGAGGTGGGAGGACTGCTTGAGCCCAGGAGTTCGAGACCAGCCTGGGCAACATAGTGAGCCCCCATCCCTTTAAAAAAAAAAAAAAATTAAATAATTTGCCCATTATGGTGGCATGTGCCTATGGTCCCAGCTACTTGGGAAGCTGAGGTGGAAAGATCGCTTGAATCAAGGAGATGAAGGCTGTAGTGACCTGTGATTGCATCATTGCACTCCAGCCTGGGTGACATAATGAGACTCTGTCTCAAAACAACAAAAAACCAAAAATGAAAATCTTCCTTTTAACCTTTATATATGTGTACTTCATTTCACTCTTCTTTGTGTATGTGTGCATATATCAATTCTTCCATAATAACCTTTGCATGAAAATATTTTTCCTTGTTTAATTTTTTCCTATTTTTTTTCATGTACTCTAAAATGACCTTCCTGGTTTCACATTACCACAGATTTTCCATGGAAAACAGGTAATTAGGGAACAGTAATTTCTATGGCATTAAATAATTAGAAATAAGGAGAAGAAAAAAATTTAAGCTTAAAAGTTCTAAAACTCAGGCTAATGAAATCTCCTCCTTCTCTCCCATAATTTTGCTTCACTTATATAATATCAGAGACCCAATGGGAAGAAATAATATTTTATTTATAGTATAATACAGTGTTGATAATCCACAAAGGTTACAACAATAACATCATAAATCGATTTCAACTTACTAAGAGCTGAGTGGTTGTCTATAATCTGTATTGGAATAGTCTGCACATCTCCCAACAGAATTCGATGAACAGTTCCTTCCAGATTCCCTGTATCCTCAACACCTCCAACTTCTACCAGCTGGTCCATTGCAACTAGATTTTGATCTGGTTCTGGAAGGTTACCCATGGTGGAGGCAGTACCATTGTTTTGGGTTAGGCATGTATCTCTTTGAAGGCTATGACTTTGACCAAGCAGTAGAGAATTATTATTCATTACAGCACTTCCTATTGGATCCAGAAGTCCTGAAGGACTAGAGGATGGCTGGTTATTTACTGATATCAGAGCTGGTGATTCATCAGGAGAGGTGAACCTTGGTTGTAACTGCAAACCCTTTTAAACCAAAAAGAGTTACATCAAAATGTTTGAATTTACCATGTATGATATTCTCATAGGATATACTATTCTTTTGACAAAAAATCCAAACAAATAAAAAGAGTATGGTTACAAATAAATATTAAATGAAGAAAGAAACAAGAATCAAGGGAAAAGTAGTACAACTAAATTTATTGCATTCATAGTCAACCTTAAACTTTTAAAAAACATACTGTTTGAGTTATCTTAAATCAAGAAACAAAAAGATCAGGAAATTAACAATGAAAACATATTTGATCATTATTATAATTCTGTAACAATTCTCTAAAATCTCTAGAAGAAGAGGTGAAGTGAGGAATAAAGAGAAGGACCTCAAATCTGGATATTTTACTGGATACCTACCTGCAGTTGTGTAAATATTTTGGGCTGAAATGAGGAGAGTGAGGAGAGCAAGTGAGTTGGCTCAGGAGACAAAGAACCCCTTGTCTGATTTGTTTCCACTTTGGTGGTAATTGATTCTCCTGGTGAATTTCCTAAATTATATTAAAGAAACTATTAAAACAAAATAATTTTTATGGCTTCTCTGAAGTCATAAAAATACTTTATTACAACCCTTTCTATCAGAACTAAAATAGGAACTAATTTCAAAGTTGCAAAGGACTTCAGTAAGTCATCTAGCCCAAGGGTCCCTGACCCTACCAGTCTGTACCTTGTTAGGAACTGGGCTGCACAGCAGGAGGTGAGCATGGGGCAAGCAAGCCTTACTGCGTGAGCTCTACCTCATGTTAGATCAGCAGAGGCATTAGATTCTAGGATCTAAGTTGCATGCTCCTTATGAGAATCTAATGCCTGATGATCAGAGGTGGAAGAGTTTCATCCCAAAACCATCCCCCCAACTCTCCACCCTGGGTCTGTGGAAAAATTGTGTTCCACAAAACCGGTCCTTGATGCCAAAAAGGCTGGGGACTGCTGATGTAGCCCACTATTTGCAGAACCTGGCAGATAATGAGAATCTCTAAGGGATGTTTAAGAAAATATAGATTCCTAGGTTTAACCTCCATTAATTTTAATTTGGTAGATCTAGAATGGGATTCTCCCTCCATATCCATGGGAGACTGGTTACAGGACCTCCACCAGAAATAAAAATCTGCAGATGCTCAGTTCCTGATATAAAATGGCATAGTATTTGCATATAATCTAAGCATATCCTCCCACAAACTTTAAATCCTCTCTGGATTACCTATAATACACAATACAAGGTAGAAGTCCTCCAGTATACTTTAAATCATCTCTAGATTACAAGAAGGAAAAAATATATGTACATGTTTGGTACACATCCAATTAAAAATACATTTTTTATCAGTGGTTTGTTGAAGCCATGGATACAGAACCCATAGATACAGACGCACAACTATATATACATATTTTTTTACCTTGAAATACACTATATCTGTAACTCGAATCTAGTCTGTTCTCTGTACTATAATGCTGGACTATACTAAGCTTCTCTAGATGTGTGAAATCTAAGGAGCTTCTCAATTAACATCAAACTTAATTCACCTTTTGTAGCCCTAGTAACTAGGACAATACCTGGAAAAATTGGTCTTTAATGATAACAGCATTAAATTTATTTCAATAACTCATTTTGGTATAAATGAATAAAAATTAAAACTGTTTTCTTAATATCTCAAATTTAAACTAATTGTTGGGAATGTGAATCATTCTCATGTAATTCTTATATGTTAACTCAAATATATTCATCTCTTTAAGTCAATGAAGAACTAATTATCAGCCAGGCGAAGTGGCTCACGTTTGTAATCCCAGCTCTTTGGGAGGCCGGGGCAGATGGATAACTTGAGACCAGGAATTTGAGACCAGCCTGGGCAGCATGGTGAAACCTTGTCTCCAGTAAAAATACACAAATTAGCCGGGTGTGGTGGCATGTGCCTGTAGTCCCAGTTACTTGGGGGGCTAAGGTGGGAGGATCGCTGGAGCACGGGAGGCAGAGGGTACAATGAGCCAAGATCGTCCCACTGCACTCAAGTATGGGTGACAGAGTGAAATCCTGTCTCAAAACAGAAAAAGAAAACCTAATTATCAATGAATATTTATTGCTTCCATACTAATTTTAAAATGGCCATAATATCAGAGAAGAATGGATTTAAGTAGTAGCTTTCTGTGTGACCTTCAATATGCTATATAACTCAGTTTCTTTTCTTTCTTTTTTTTTTTTTTTGAGACAGACTTGCTCTGTTGCCCAGGCTGGAGTGCAGTGGCATAATCTCGGCTCATTGCAACCTCTGCTTCCCGGGTTCAAGCGATTCTCTTGCCTCAGCCTCCTGAGTAGCTGGGACTACAGGCATGTGACACCATGCCCAGCTAATTTTTGTATTTTTAGTAGAGACAGGGTTTCACCATGCTGACCAGGCTAGTCTTGAACTCCTGACCTCAGGTGATCCACCTACCTTGGCCTCCCAAAGTGCTGGGATTACAGGCGTGAGTCACTGCATCCATCCTATAACTCAGTTTCTAAACTTTAGCTTCCTCATCTGTAAAATCAGCATAAGAGTCCTTTCTCAATGGACCACTGAGAGGACTAAATAGCACTCAAGCATTTCTTGGCTTCTTCATTATTAATGTCCTTTTACTTCACTACTGTAGTCACCCACCACTATCATCATACTCTGGATGATCCTACCTCTAACATCTGAAGTTCAAACAGCTCATTCTCTGATCACAACCTCTTATTTTTTTATTTTTATTCTGTTTTCGAGATGGAGTCTTGCTCTGCTATCCAGGCTGGAGTGCAGTGGCGTGATCTCGGCTCACTGCAACCTCCACCTCCCGGGTTCAAGCGATTCCCCTGCCTCAGCCTCCTGAGTAGCTGGGATTACAGGCATGTGCCACCATCCCCAGCTAATTTTTATATTTTTAGTAGAGACGAGGTTTCACCATGTTGGCCAGGCTGGTCTCAAACTCCTGACCCCAAATGATCTGCCTACCTTGGCCTTCCAAAGTTCTGAGATTACAGGTGGGAGCACTGTGCCCAGCTACAATCTCTTATTCTTCCAGAGATTTTGCTCAGGCACTTCACTACAATTGTTGTTCAACCTCATGTGAACCTCCAGTCAATTAATCCCTCAGTTTTCTTCAGATCCATCAACCTCTTTCTTAATAAAATTCTTTCCCCATCCAGCCTACAGTCCTAGGTCTATAACTTCAGTTACTCTTTCACAAGTACCTAAACTCTCTTGCCTCTCTGTCCTTTGGTCATATCCCTCAAGTAAAACCCTAACTCTGCATAAAAATGGCTTTCCTTCCCAATACATGGGAAGCTGAATGCCACTGAAAAAGAAACTCACTAATTCTACTAATACCAATTCTTTATTAACTTTGATTGGACCTTCACCTGTATCTGGCAATGTTTTACTCTCTATCCAGGATAGTTTCTAATTTGCATTTCCCTCAAATCCATGCCACCCTTCTTCAAACCTTTCCTTATCCTTAGCACTCTTACAGAGAAAAGGGAAGCCAACAGAAGTTTCAACTTCCCATCACCATCTTCATCTATCTTTTCAGTTCTCTACTCTCTTAAAATACCTTCCCTCAACCCCATTTGCCATCGCAAAATTCCTGAAAAAGTGGCGCACTTTTTAAGGAGTCCCTACTCCTTCTTCATCTCCCATTCACCCTTCAATCACCCCAATATGGCTTCCTCCCAATCCACTCCACTGAAATGGCTCAGATACTCAGCTTTACAAACCTAGTAAGTCCTTTATTCTCTCTCCTGCCCTACCAATGCTCTATTCTTTCACCAGTGTTGCTGAGCTCAGTAAATGCTATCAGTCAGTTGCTCATTATAGAAATTCAGAGGTTTGGTCAGGCGCAGTGGCTCACGCCTGTAATCCCAGCACTTTGGGAGGCCAAGGTGGGTGGATCACCTGAGGTCAGGAGTTTGAGATCAGATTGGGCAGCATGCCGAAACCCCATCTTGACTAAAAATACAAAAATTAGCCAGGTATGGTGGTGTGTGCCTGTGATCCCAGCTACTTGGGAGGCTGAGGCTGGAGAATCACTTGAACCCGGGAGGCGGAGGTTTCAGTGAGCCGAGATTGCACCACTTCACTTCAGCCTGGGTGACAGAGTGACACTCTGTCTCAAAAACAAAAAAAGAAATTCAGAGGTTTAACTTTATATAGGGGGTGAAGTTACAAATGTACTTAAAACAAAAGAGTTTACAATTTGAGTACTAAGAGGAGTTTGCCATGCAGAAGAAAAAAGACATTTCCAGAAGAGAGAACAAATGCAAAAGGGTGGAAATAAGTTTGGAATATTGAAAGGGCACAGCGGTAAGAACACAGGAGAAAAAATAACCATAAAAAATGGACCATAGTTCCCGAATCAGGGCATCTTAGGGTTATGACTACTGGAATTAGCCAGACTTATAGTGAATTAGCTACAGTTAACTGTGCTAGTTATCAGCTTCAAAATTTCAGTCATAAAAAAGCATTAAAAGCAAAGTATAAGAGGAAATTAAAATAGCAGGAAGTATGTTGATAAACCATAACAAAGCTGCTCCTACGTCTTTGGATCCTGGTTTCCTTATCTATAAAATCTGATTAGATGACATAGTATCTTAAGTTCCTTCTAGTTAAACACCGTTTGAATTTGTATTTTAAACGTATTCAAGACAACCTACCTTCTGCAAATGTAACCGTCACGGTCTCTTTGAGAATATTCCCACTGTCTGTAGTCCATTGAAGCTGAAATGGAAACATTTATTTCAGTAAAAATAAAGCTCTTACATTGAAAAATATCTTAAGACGTCATTACAACTGTCGCATTTTATTCACAGTATGTGATTTATTCTGCTACTCTCTTCACTTGTTCACATTCTCCAAGCACAAGTATACTTTACTATACAAATATATTAAATTCCTGAGTTTAGATAGCAGGAATTTAGACAAGTGTAGATGACAAGGACTACTTCTAACATTTAGATAGTGAATAATTAAGAGTTATTGGGCTGGGTACAGTGGGTCACGCCCATAAGGCTTGGGAAGCCAAGGCTAGAGAAGTGCTTGAGGCCAGGAGTTTGAGATCAGCCTGGGCAACAAAGTGAGACTCAGGCTCTACAAAAAATTAAAAAATTAGCTAGGTGTAATGGCTGGTGCCCGTAGCTCCAGCTGACAGGAGTCTAAGGTGGGAGGACTGCTTGAGTCTTGGAGGTCGTGGCTGCAGTGAGCCATGATTGTGTGAGCGCACTCTGGCTGGGCGACAGTGAAACTCTATCTTAAAAAAAAAAAAAGAAAAAAGACAAAGAGTTATAGATTGCAAGAAACAGTTTTGGCTTTTAAAATATCCATATTTTTTCAGATACTGCATTTGGATAACAGAAGTTAGGAGAGCAAAAGATATTGCACCTCAGATTTAATGGCATAAACACTGGCTGTATTGTAATTAGTTGTTTCTGGGTAATTAACATCTTCAGAGTAGGCAAAATTTTCACAGAAATGACTAATATTCAGGGAGAAACTACCATATCAAGCTATGAGTTAAGGTCGGGCGCGGTGGCTCATGCCTGTAATCCTAACACTCTGAGAGGCCGAGGAGGGCAAATCACGTGAGATCAGGAGTTCAAGACCAGCCTGGCCAACATGGTGCAACCCGTCTCTAATAAAAACAAAAAATCAGCTGGGCATGGTGGCTAAAACCTGTAATCCCAGCTACTTGTGAGGCTGAGGCAGGAGAATCGCTTGAACCTGGGAGATGGAGGTTGCAATAAGCCAGGATCATGCCACTGCAATCCAGCCTGAGCAAGAGAGAGAGACTCTGTCTCAAAAAAAATAAAAAATAAAAAAATAAGTATGAGTTCAACTAATATCCATAGATGACATATGGAACCAATGTTATCACTTTGGGCAATCAGGTATGAACAACTGGATGGATGGATGGATGGATGGATGGATGGATGGATGGATGGATGGATATTTAGTTATTTATTGAGATGGAGTTTTGCTGTTGTCACCCAGGCTGGAGTGTGATGGCATGATCTCGGCTCACTGCAACTTCTGCCTCCCGGATTCAAGTGATTCTCCTGCCTCACTCTCCTGAGTAGCTGGGACTATAGGCACCTGCCACCACGTCCAGCTAATTTTTGTATTTTTGGTAGAAATTTAGTTTCACTGTGTTGGCCAGGCTGGTCTCGAACTCCTGATCTCAGGTGTTGCACCTGCCTCAGCCTCCTAAAGTGCTAGGATTATAGGCACGAGCCAATGCACCCGGCCCAAACAACTGTATTTAAATTTGCCCATTTATTAAAAAAGGGAGGGGAAATATATACATAGTACTCAATAAATGTCTGTTAAATTAGTAAGAATAATTTTTACAGAGAAAATACATGTTGATTTTAAAATAAAGATTAGTGGTTTTCTGTTGTTGTTTTTGAGATGAAGTCTCACTCAGTCTCCCAGGCTGGAGTGCAGTGGTGCTATCTCAGCTTACTGCAACCTCTGCCTCCCAGGTTCAAGCGATTCTCCTACCTCACCCTCCCAAGTAGCTGGGATTACAGACACGCACCACCACACCCAGCTAATTTTTTTTTGTTTTTTAAGATGGAGTCTCACTCTGTTGCCCAGGCTGGAGTAAAGTGGTGTGATCTCGGCTCACTGCAAGCTCTGACTCCCGGGTTCACGCCACTCTCCTGCCTCAGCCTCCCAAGTAGCTGGGACTACAGGCGCCCGCCACCATGCCCGGCTAATTTTTTGTAATTTTAGTAAAGATGTGTTAGCCAGGATGGTCTTGATCTTCTGACCTTGTGATCTGCCCACCTCGGCCTCTCAGAGTGCTGGGATTACAGCCGTGACCCACTGCGCCCAGCCACACCCAGCTAATTTTTGTATTTTTAGTAGAGACGGGGTTTTGCCATGTTGGTCAGGCTGGTCTCGAACTCCTGACCTCAGGTGATCTGCCCGCCTCAGCCTCCCACAGTGATGGGATTACAGGCACGAGCCACTGTGCCTGGGTAGTGTTTTTATTATAGAGTTGGAATTCACTGATTTTTCTTCTTGTGAAAGTAATAAAAAACTTTTAGTCATTTTCTAAACATTCAGAGTATTCACATTTTAAGAAAAAGATGCTATACATATATATATATTTTTGAGACAGTGTCTCGCTGAGTCTCCCAGGCTGGAGTACAGTGGTGCAATCTCGGCTCACTGCAACCTCCACCTCCTGAGTTCAAGTGATTTTCCTGCCTTAGCCTGCCGAGTAGCTAGGATTACAAGCGCCCACCACCAGGCCCAGCTAATCTTTGTATTTTTGTGGAGATGGGGTTTCACCGTGTTGGCCAGGCTGATCTCAAACTCCTGACCTCAGGCGATCCACCCGTCTCGGCCTCCCGAAGTATTGGGATTACAGGCATAAGCTACCACACCTAGGCTATTATATTTTCTTATACTGCAGTTATTCAGATGGCCTAACAGTAGCCATTCTTATTAGACTAAATATTAACAGAAGCTGAGAAACTCTGTAATAAGGAATTATGGTTGTAATCATACCGTTGCCGGAATAATCTCTGAGTTATATACCATATCTCCATTTCTCAAGGATTTCTGTACCTCATGGATGTGATTTTTTAGATCATTTACAGTTGGAAAAAAAGATAAATTATGTCTTTCAGGTACCTCATCGGGTTTGAACAGTTCCCTTTCCACAAATTTTCTGTAAAGAATACAAAATGGAATAAAGACATAAACTATTTAGCAATATGCCTTGAGATCCAAAGAGATAAAGGTTCTCTTTCAGTATAAACCTCTATGAAGTATGGTTTATACCTCTGTAAGTAATTTATATTTTCCTACTTAAAATTTTCCCATACAACACAGAATTATTGTAGACTACAGAAACGTAATATTTTCATTGGTAAACATCTAAATATATTAGAGTGAGTTTTGTTATTATTAATTTTTTTGAGATGGAGTCTCGCTCTGTTGCTCAGGGTACAGTGCAGTGGCGTGATCTCGGCTCAACTGCAACCTCTGCCTCCTGGGTTCAAGCGATTCTCCTGCCTCAGCCTCCCGAGTAGCTGGGACTACAGGAGTGTGCCACCACGCCCGACTAATTTTTTGTATTTTTAGTAGAGACCGGGTTTCACTATGTTGGCTAGGCAGGTCTCGATCTCCTGACCTCGCAATCCACCTGCCCTGGCCTCCCAAAGTGCTGGGATTACAGGCATGAGCCACCACGCCCGGCTGAGCTTTGATATTTTTATGAATTTAAAGAAACCACTATTTTCAGTTTAAGTATAATGTTTTTAATGATTACTATGTCAGGCACTGTATGGAACACTTCACATCAAATATCTCCTTTAACCCTTAATGATCAACGACATAGGTACAATTATCATTCCCACTTTACAGATGATAGAACTGAGTACTGTAGAAGTGAAATAATTTGCCCAAAATCATACACCTACCTAGTAAATAAGAGCTTGGGCCTATACCCAGGTTATGTGCGTAAACATCATGTTACATTGCTTCCAAAAGCATCAATTAACATTATATGAAATATGATGGGCTTGAATTTTACACGGAGACAAAAGAAGATAGAAATAGAAGGCAGCACTGTTATTTAATTGTATTAAAAAATCAATACATAAAAGAAATGATAAAATTTAACATATATATGCTTATTACATTTGGTGGACCAAATCACAGAACTGTATTATACTTCCTTTCTTAAGATTCAGGTTTAGTAAATAGTGAATGGCTTTACCAAATTTTTGCCTTATGCTAATGATGCCCCAATGGAAATAAATATAAAACATCTAAGAAAACTGCTAAATAGAAAAGTAATGTATTAATTAGGAAATAATTCTAGGAATTACAGTAAGTTCTCAGTTAACATCATTGTTAGGTTCCTGGAAACTGAGACCTTAAGTGAAAGGACATAACAAAACCAAATTACTTTCTCCAATGCTGTAAGAAAACAACACTGAATCAGGTGCAGTGGCTTGCTCCTGCAATCCCATCTTCTTGGGTGGATCATTTGAGGCCAGGACTTCAAGACCAGCCTGGGCAACATAGCAAGATCCCTGTCTCTTTTACAAAAAAAGTTTAAAAAAAGAGAAAAAAAGGCATTGAACAGAACGATATTACTCAAGGACGTGCTGTATTTCCTTTTGCTTAAAGTAGCAGTTTTCAAGAACCTATTGATGACTTTAAGAGGGGGCTTACTATATTTATTTTGTTATTCAGATCAGATTACACAATAATCAGTAAGAGCAAGGCTAAGTATCAATAAATCATGGTAATGGGCATAGGCTATAGAGTTAGGCCTAAATTTCAGTTCTCTCACTGCCTTTTTAAATTTTTTTTTTTTTTTTTGAGACAGAGTCTCACTCTATTGCCAGGGTAGAGTGCAGTGTCACAATCTCGGCTCACTGCAACCTCCACCTCTAGGGTTCAAGCAATTCTCCAGCCTCGGCCTCCCAAGAAGCTGGGACTACAGGCGCGTGCCACCACACCCAGTTAATTTTTGCATTTTTAGTAGAGATGAGGTTTCACCATGTTGGCCAGGATGGTCTCGATCTCCTGACCTTGTGATCCGCCCTCCTTGGCCTCCCAAAGTGCTGGGATTATAGTCATGAGCCACTGCCTCTTAAGCCAATTATTTAGCCACTCTGAGACTCCAGTTTCTCATGTGTAGAATTCGGATAAATATACCAACTTTATAGTGCTATTGTAAGACTAAATGAGATCATACATGTAAAAAGCCTAGCACAGTACCTGGCACACACATAATGAGTAATTATATAATTACTTATATAATTATTTCCTAAGGATCAAAAAACTTAGACCAGAGTACTACAAATAAAATTTCATTAGACAAAGAATTATCCAAATTCTCTTGTTGTAATAAAATTTAACTGCATTTCAAATAGTTTGAAATACGTGTCTTGGCCTAGGTTTTAAAATCTTTGGTTCTACAAAGGTTTTTTCTCTAAAAGTATTTATTAACTAATTCATTTTATACATCATTTAGAAACAGTCCAATTTGCCAAATCCAAATACAGAATGTCTCAAATGAGTAATCAGAATTATAATAAACCATACTACACCATTGCTTGCCAAGCATTTGTTAGAAAACGATCAGTTTATAAATAAGATCTTAATAAAATAATAAACTATATTCCTTATCTACCCTGACAGCATATATTTTGGAAAATATCTCCAGTGTTCACTGTATTATTTAAAGCAACAAACAAAACTGAAAAATGTAAAAGAACAATGCTCTTCTATTGTACCTTAGCTGCTTCCTTACTGCATACACTTGTTCTATTCCCTGTGATACTAATTCTTGAATCTTATGGGCTACTTGAGGATGTAAACGTGAGGGTAATGCACAATTCTCATCTCTAACTGCAGTTTCCTCTTCTTCAACAGAAGACACAGGAAACGGAGAAGGTGACAAAGTGAGGCAGGGAGTCTCTAATTCATGATACTGATGAGCTTGCTGTGTAGGTAACTGTACATACCACCTGGTAAGAGAAAGTATTTAAAATTACTAAAATTTAAACATTGAAATTATTTAATATTATTAGACCAAAGTAGGAATCATAATTACTTAGGTTAATACTCATAAAGAGAAGAATTAATCCTTTAAGAAAAAATTATATATGGTTATTTCCTATCAAATAAAATTTAAAATGATCTCTTAACTTCTAAGATCTATTTTATATCCAATTAAATTTAAATATTTGTAAATATTTACAGACTTTCACTGTGGTCCTACAGTTGAGGGAGATAGAGGAATTTTAAGTATATATGAAAATGGCATTTTAAATTTCATATTAATTGTATTATTTTGGGTTCATGGGAAAATTCGTATTAAGTACATTTTACCTCAAAATAAAGAGAAGACATTGTAAATCATCATCTTTTGAACTGTGTATTTTCCCATTCATCAAACATTTGCCCGAAATTACACTTCTCTGTTACACCTACCATCCTTCCAATCAAAGATAGAACCTGTCAAGATTGAACTTTATGGTTGATTCTTCCCTCACAGGAACTCAACATACTGCCTCTATAGCACTCCCAGCTCCTGCTGGCCAAGTGAGCAAGAGAATTAACTAAAGGTGAATGCAGATCTCTTGGAGAGCCATGCGGAAAAAAAAACAAAAAACAAAAAACAAAAAGACGGTAGGAAAATGAACTAATCTGGTAGGATACCGCTTTAATTGATATTTCTGTATAAAATTCTTACAACGACTGATAACTGCCTACTTAAAAATTATATGCAATGTTCTTCAAACTGCAGGATCTAATTGTTTTAGCGATATTTTTGACTTTCATTGAAGGATCTAATTATTGACTCAATTTATTTTTCACATACCTAAAAGTTTTTTTAAAGATCACACAAAAACGATATTCCATACACTTAAATCCATTATACAGTAACAAATTATTCACCCGGACTGACACATAAAGGAAAGTAAAAAAGAATGCTAATATTTCTCATTTAAAACCTAAAGCATAAAAGGTGTAAAATGGAATTTTATTTAGGGCTTAGAATTCATTTCTGGCTGCCATAAGTAATCAAAGATTAGTTAAAAAAAATGACAGGCAGCTGCAGTTTCTGCTCATAGTAAGTATCTAAAACAAAGTACTAATATATAATAAAGTATATTAAATATGTCTGTCATTCTGAGAAAAAACTTTTACATAGTATATGGTATACAGAGTATATGCTATACGGTATGGTATAATTCTTTGGTCTGAATTATCTACAACTGGGGGTGAGAAACTCAATAGCTTACACAGTGGCAAATCAATTTAATATCTAGGGAACTATTGATACCTCTACCTTGTAAAACTGTTACTTAATGAAATAATTGGAAAACTATAATTTCCCTTACAAAATAATTATTGGAAATTGAGCTAATTAATTTATAAAATAAAAGAACTATAAAAATGTCATACCTAAGAACACCACCAGCATCTACCAAGTTCTTCTTTAGCATGTTAAAAGCTTTCTCCTGCTCCATTCTGATAATTTTCTTGTCTATTTTGGGGTCTGTAGGAACTCTATATTCAGGAAACTTCTGTACCTTTTTAATGTAAATCCTTGATACAAGATAAAGAAGAATTTGTTTCATTATATTATAATCTCAAGAAAATCTATTTTATCAACCAGAAGTGTACTTTAAGCATTTAAGCTTAGAGAAAATTCTATTTATCTGTAAAGTATTCAGAGGCTTATATAAAATATATGCCATATTCCCAGTTGTATTAATACTTAGCAAATTAAAAGTAAACATGATTTGAGGAAAAATATCTAAGTATTTACAGACTTTACCATTTTTTTCCCCTAGATTTGCCTTCTCTTCATTCTCCTGGAAGGCAGAATCTCACGCCTGGATTACATTTATTTATTTAGTTATTTATTTATTTATTTTTGAGATGGAGTTTTGCTCTTGCTGCCCAGGCTGGAGTGCAATGGCATGATCTCAGCTCATCGCAACCTCTGCCTCCTGGATTCAAGCAATTCTCCTGCCTCAGCCTCCCTAGTAGCTGGGATTACAGGCGTATGCCACCACTGCTGGCTAATTTTGTAGTTTTAGTAGAGACGGGGTTTTTCTATGTTGGTCAGGCTGGTCTTGACCTCCCGACCTCAGGTGATCCGCCTACCTCGGCCTCCTGAAGTGCTGGGATTACAGGCGTGAGCTGCCATGCCTGGCCCTAGATTACTTTAATAGCCTCCTTCCAGGCCTGTGCCTCCAATCTTTCATTACTTAAATCCACTTGATAATTTAGTGTCACAGGTGATTCTCTTGCCTTAGCCTCCCCAGTAGCTGGGATTACAGGCATGTGTCACTATGCCTGGCTAATTTTTTTTGTATTTTTAATAGAGACAGGGTTTCACCATGTTAGTCAGGCTGGTCACAAACTCCTCACCTCAAGTGATCCACCCGCCTCAGCCTCCCAGAGTGCTGGGATTATAGGCATGAGCCACCGCACCCGGCCTCTGTAGCTTTAGTTATATGGTTCTCTTAACCTACAATATCACCCCTCTAACTCTCTACCCACCCAAATTCAATTTAAACCTCAACATCCAGTTTAAATTGTACTTTCTTTCCTGCCATGAATTTGTATGGATATATTCCTTCTTTAAATACCTCAATAGGTAGTTAAATCATGTATTTCACACTATATTCTATACTACCATGTTGTCTACTAGTTTTTGTTTCCTGATCCATTCCCTGGGATTAAGTAAAATTTTATTCCTCTTTTGGTTTCCCTCCTTCCCATGGCAACCAATGTAGTTTCTGGGCACAGAGTAGATAGTCAAAAAGTACTTGTAGAACGAAGGAAAATAAAATTATTTTTTCACATGTAGAGGTTTTTCCCCAAGTAATACTTAAAGTTTTTATATTGCTTATATTTAAGAAGCAGTTGATAAAAGTTTCAAGTCAAGGCTAAATGGAAAAAAAAAAAGCAACTGAAAGTTTGTTTCACAGTCAGGTTTAAATATTCCCTAAAGTTAATATTATAGGATTAAATATGAAAAGCCTTGTAAATGGGCTTTAAAAACTTCTTGAGAATGCTAAGGTATTTATTTTATTTTATTTTATTTTTTTTGAGATGGAGTCTTGCTCTGTTGCCCAGGCTGGAGTGCCAGTGGCACAGTCTCAAGCTCACAGCAACCTCCGTTTCCTGGATTCAACCAATTCTCCTGCCTCAGCCTCCCGAGTAGCTGGGATTACAGGGGCCCACCTAATTTTTTATATTTTTAGTAGAGACGGGGTTTCACCAGTTGGCCAGGTTTGTCTCAAACTCCTAACCTCGTGATCCACCCGCCTTGGCCTCCTAAAGTGCTCGGATTACAGGTGTGAGCCACCGTGCTCGGCCAAGAATGCTGAGGTATTAATAACATGAGATGTGATACTAAAAGCGTTTCAAAGATCAACTAAGTCCAACCACTACATATTATCTTTTAAATTTTTTATTTTACCGAATAGTTTAAAACACTTTTAATATATTTAAAAAGTCTTAAAATACTTTCAATGTCTAAAAAATTTACATTCATAAAGGACATTGTGAAATCTTTCATTGGTTCACATTTTTCATTCTTACCCAGAGCAATGACTACTCTGTAGTCCTAATCTATCTAGAACTTACTACGTTGGTAAATTGATAAAATCGCTCTAAAAAGTAACTTTGCAATATTTGTCAACATTTTTAAAAGATACAGCCTTTGCCCTAGCAATTTCATTTCAAGGAATTTTTCCTACTGAAACACTTGTAGGAGTGCACAAATATGTACAATGTTAATAATTGTAGCTTTGTATAATACTAATAAGGAATACCTTTCACAGCTTACATGAATTAAATAATTCATCCATAAATGGAATGGCTATTAAAAATAGTACTTTTATGTACATATATGTAATATATATGTAAGTACATATATATGGAGTCAGCTTTGAGATACACTGAGAATGAAAAAAAGGAAAGTTTATGTCATTACATTAACACTAGTATGTAGCATATCTCTGCAGCAGATAACCACAACAGGCATTCAGATTGAGAATAAATCTATGTGAATTCATATCAAGAAAAAAGGTACACTACTATCTAAGTTTAAGGAAAGAAAATATTAGTGAGCTTTACTGAGATTTTCAACAACATTTATAGGGGTAGAGAAGGAGATCTCTGTTTCTGCCTTTATATGCATCCATATACACAGAATATCTTTGGAAGATGACTCAAAACTAGTAAGAGTTGTTGCTTTAAAGACAGAACAAACGTGCGTAAGAGAAAACTTAGAATTCACTGTACACTTTTCAGTACTGTATAAACCTAATAAAATATGTGTATTAGCTATTCAAAAATAAGTTCTTAATAAAAAACAAATAAAAGAAAATAAAGCTTACCGAGCTGGACAAGTGGCTTTGTAGAGCTGACAAGACCTGCTTTCCTGCTCACTGACTTTTTTTAACTGGAAACCTTTTCTTCTTGGCCCATACTGACACTCCATTACCACAGCTCTACTCCCTGTGGGCCAAAACCAACTATTGATATTAATTCAAGTGTCCATCTATTCTAGACACTAGATTAAAAGTAACTTGGTGGTGGCAATGTCAAAATCTTTCAAGTATACAGCTTTAAGGAAAGAAAACATTAATAAGTCTAAGATATACAAACATATAAATTTAAAAGTTTATTTTAAAATTTACCAAAGGTACCATAATTATGGTAAGAAAATTAGTGAATATCACATTTACTGAATGTCTACTGGCATACAATTTTTTTTTTTTTTTTTTTGAGATGGACTCTCACTCTGTCACCCAGGCTGGAGTGCAGTGGCGTGATCTTGGCTCACTGCAACCTCCACCTCCTGAGTTCAAGCAATTCTCCTGCCTCAGCCTCCTGAGTAGCTGGGACTATAGGTGTGTGCCACCACGCCAGGCTAATTTTTGTATTTTTAGTAGAGACAGAGTTTTGCCATGTTGTCCAGGCTGGTTTTGAACCCCTAACCTCAAGGGATCCACCTGCCTTTGAACTCCTAACCTTAAGTGATCCGCCTGCCTTGGCCTCCCAAAGGGCTGCGATTAGAGGCATGAGCCACTGTGCCCCACCTGACATATGGCTTTTATACCACTTTATAAATAGTGAGCAAATGTTACATTTGGTTAATAAATATTAGTATCATTTATATTTTTATTTCCTTTTATAATTATTTTCTTATTTTTATTTGGGCTGTTAATACAGCAGCCAGCCCTAAGATGGCCCCCAGTAATCCATGCCTTCTCGTATTCATGACCTTGAGTAACCCCCTCCCCTTGAACATGGGCTAGACTTATTATGTTTAATAAATATGGCAAAAGTGATAGGAAGTTATTTTTGATATTAGGTTACAAAAAGACTGTAACTTCCATTTGGCTACTCTCTCTTACTCTTGCTTGAATTGCTCTCTCTGGATGTAATCAGCTGCCATGTGGTAAGGGAGCTCTGTGGAAAGGCCCACATGGCAAGGAGTAAGGCCTGCTGACAGCCACAAGAGTGAATCTGAAAGTAGACCCTCCCTCAGTCAAGTCATGAGATGACTGCAGCTGAACCACTTTGCTGAGTCACTCTTGGATTCCTGACTCACAGAAACTGTGAGATAATTAACATTTGTTGTTTTCAGCCACTAAGTTTGGTATAATTTGTTACACAGCAATAGATAATACAAATAAGCAGATGTGAAAATTATATAACTTGATTTTAAGCTGAGTATCTTACACTACTGTAGGATACAGCAAACTTTTAAAATATAAAATAAAAACACCAGTTACTAACAAAAATGTTGATAAAACTGACACTAAAATATAAAAACTTAGTTTAGAAGATACCATGAGTAAATATAAAAGTAATAGTGTGAGAAATAGCATTTTATAACATATATAACATAGTAATTCTCCATGTAGAATTACTATGTAAACTACAAACAATCATAAATAATTAATAAACAACCACTCAGAAAAATGGGCAAAGGCTATGAATAGCCAAGTCAGAAAGAAAAAAAAGGTAGTAAATGAACAAAGAAAAAGATGTTCAACTTTACAGGTAAAGAGGGAAATGCAAATTAAAAAATGCAAATGCAAAGTAAAATACTATCTCATACTCCTTGGATTGGCAAAAATAAAAACATTTGACAATACTCTAAAACAACTGAATCCACCGATCAATCTGAACACCACAAACAGAGACACACACAGATGGCAATAAGTACACAGCACGGGAGGAGGTATTCTTGCAAAAATCAAATCTGCATTTAATCAAGGCTCTAGACCTGTTTACAGAAAACAGAAGAGATAAAGAACAAAAACTACATCACACAGATGGAATAAGCAAAACCCAGAATATGGCAAATATTACAGAACAAACTACCTAGAAGAGGAGAGAAATCTTCAAATTAAAAGAAGTTTAAGAGATTTATTAACTAAATGCAGTCTGTAGATGCTGTTTGGATTTGAATTTCAACAACATTTAAGGGGGGGAAAAACCTGTGAGATAAGTGGGAAAATGTAAACACTGAACATTTTATAACATTAAAAAGTTACTATGAATTTTCTTAAGTGTGATAATGGGATTGATATATATATATGTGTGTGTGTGTGTATATATACACACATATATGTATAGACATATGTAAGGAGTCCTTATCTTTTAGAGACATATGCTTTACTATACACCATATACTTTAGTAATTACAGAAGGAATGATATATCTGAAATGTGCTACAAAACCATCTAGGGAATGAGGAATTGTAAGGGGTATGACACAAGATTGACCATACACTGACAGTCGTTGAAGCTGGAAGACAGACACCTGGAGTCACGGGGTTTCTTATATTATTATCTCTACTTTGATTCACATATAAAAATTTCCATAATTTAAAGGTTTTTTAAGGCTGGGCAGTGGCTCATGCCTGTAATACCGGCACTTTGGGAGGCTGAGGTAGGCAGATTGCTTGAGTTTAGGAGTTTGAGACCAGCCTAGGCAACATGGCAAAACCTCATCTCCACAAAAAAAATGCAAAAATTAGCTGAGCATAGTGGCATATGCCTGTAGTCCCAGCTACTCAGGAGGCTGAGGCAGGAGGATCTCTTGAGCCAAGGAGATTGAGATTGCAGTGAGCTGAGATCACACCACTGTACTCCAGCCTGGGTGACAGAGTAAGACCCTGTCTCCAAAAAAAAAAAAAAAGATTTTTAAACACCTGGCGAAGCTAAGTCATGAAGTAAATATGGAGAAATGAAATTTTCACACAACTGCTGACAGGAGTGAAAATTGGCACAAGTTGTCAAACCCTTATATACAAATCTGAAATCCAAAAAGCTCAGCAAACAGTTTTTTCAGGACTCACTTGGCTGCAAAACCAGGCCTGAGCTGTGTGAGGTTATTTATAGTCTTTATTTGTTTCTCTTGGTATGACTATGTAATAAAGAATTAGTGTTTGATTATGTGATATTGGCTATAGCAGGGGTCTCTAACCTCCAGACTATGGACCACTATCAGTCTGTAGCCTGTTAGGAACCAGGCCGCACAGAAGGAGGTGAGCAGTGGGCAAGCCAGCAACGCTTCACCTGTATATACAGCCACTCCCCATCACTTGCATTACCTCCTGAGCCCTGCCTCCTGTCAGATCAGTGGCAGCATTAGATTCTCATAGAAGCACAAACCCTGTTAGGAACTGCACATGCAAGGGATCTAGGTTGCAGGCTCCCTATGAGAATCTAATGCCTGATGATCTGTCACTGTCTTCCATTACCTCCAGCTGGGACCTGCTAGTTGCAGGAAGACAAGCTCAGGGGTCCCACTGACTCTACATTCTGGTGAGTTGTGTAATTGTTTCATTACATATTACAATGTAGTAATAGAAATAAAGTGCACAATAAATGTAATGTGCTTGAGTCATCCCGAAACCATCCCCCATCCCCCATCCTGGTCCGTGGAAAAACCGTCTTCCACAAAACCAGTCCCTGGTGCCAAAAAGATTGGGGACTGCTGGTCTATAGAATACCTGCTAGGAGTATTCCATAATGTTACCACATTACATTAAAAAAATTCAGAATTCTGAAATATATGTGGTCCAAAAAATTTCAAAAGGATTCTGGATCTGTACAATCACTTTCGAGAGCAATTTTAAGATAATCTTGTAAAGATGAAATGGGCATAATTCACAACCATAATTCACAATTGTAATTCTAGAAAAACTAATTACAGCTTTTTCATTAGAGTATATATAGTGTGGAGGTTTCACTACAGCATTCTTCGTAATAATGAGAAGTTGGAAACAACCTAAATGATGATCAACAGAAAATTACTGGTTTGGTCATATGCTGGAATATTATACAATGATTAAATTGGATTAACTAGGATTTATAAATATCAATACCAATAGATGTTAAAAAAAAAAGGGTGAGTGAAAAAATTTGCAAAATAATATCTATACTTTACTATTTACACATTTTAAAAAAATCCAAAACAATAAAATATATTATTGTAGATACAATATGTAAGGTAAAGTATAAAAATATAGACTAGAATGATACACATGAAATTCATGTAGTAGTTACCTATGGAGGGTTAAGGAGATTAGATCTAGGATGGGAAAAAGGAAGGCCACAGGATTTCAAGTTCATTTTATTATTTGTTAGTTTTTTTTTTTTTTTTTTTTTTTAATTTAAGACAGGGTCTTACTTTGCCACACAGGCTGGAGTGCAGTAGCATGATCATGGTTCACTGCAGCCTCGACCTCCAAGGGTCAAGTGATCCTTCTACCTCAGCTTCCCAAATAGCTGGGACTACAGGCCCATGCCACCATGTCCAGGTAATTTATTATTTTTTTGTAAAGATGAGGTCTCTCTGTTTTGCCCAGGGATTCTCTCAAACTCGTGGGCTCAAGCAATCCTCTTGCTTTGGCCTCCCAAAGTGCTGGGACTATAGGCATGAGCCACCACATTTAAAATAAATAAATAAATAAATATATAAATAAACAAATAACCCAGCTCATTTATTTTTAATGTTGCATTTCTTTTATAGACTACTGATGAAACTCAGGCAGAAGTGGTTACATTTATCTCATCTTCTCTTAAGTATTTCTCATTAACCTCAGAGGTCCAGGATGAAACTGCAACTCTTTCAGCTAAATTACTGCCCTCATAGTCCTAAAATAAACTGCTTAGTTTTAGATTCTTTGGTGCTTTAACTAGTCTAAGAGATTTGCTTGAAACTACTCCCTTAGTAAACAACTAACCCAGTCTCTGAGAATACTGTATATAACATACCTAATGCTTGAGAACTTTACTATCAGAATTCTATAACTCCAGATTGTATACAAAGTCTATACAGTAGCTCCAGAGTTACAAGCTACATAAAATACACACAAATTTCCCCCACAAAACAAATTAAGAGAGAAGGCTAAAATATTTAATCTGAAGGGGAAAAACACAGCTGATGTATATATTTAAAATAAAATTGCTCTTTTAATATTTTATTAAACAGGTTAACTGAAACTTCGATATTTTATTTTTCAGTATAATATATGAAAGAAGTCTTACTCATTCTGATATATTAAAATGCAATCTTATAAGGTAATTGATTATATTTACTATAAGTTTTTTCAATTTAATATGCATTTCAATTAGCATTCAATTGTCAGCTACCATAATAAAATTGTATCACCTTAGGAAAATCACATTTTCACAACGGACTACGGCTGCTGCTGAACCTTTTAAAATAAGTCTTTAAAAAAGTACCTGCATTAACAAATGGGATTCCATCATATGGAACATACTGGGATTTCCACATCAAGCGTGTAGCAGGCTTGGCTGGGCTTGGAGACTGACGGGTCCCCCAAACACTCTGTGTTTGCTGCTTGTGAAATGTTAGGACACTTTCTAATTCAGTCTCACTTACACAGTAGCCACGGTATGAATCTCCAATTTTCTGCATGTGGTAGAAATTAAACAAAATTACTAGCAAATACACTTCATTGCATAATAAATATAATGAGATGGTTGTCCAAAATGGAAGACTCATCGCCTTGCACAAGAGAATGTCACTTGTGCCCTCAGATTAATGGTCTATTACAAACAGTGGGTCTGATTTGAGTTCAACCAGTATCATCAAATGGGTATTTTGCAGGTGTTTGTTAGGGAATACAATGCCAAACTCATTTGCCATACTATCTTTATCAACGTCTTGTTTGAGACAAAGAATATTTAGAAAAGATAACTTGCAAGAACATATAATGTATATCCATTCTTTCAGATATTTAAAACTCTATCCTGGATCAATCCAGATCAGCATAAAACTAGCCACAAAGTACTCACTCCCTGTGGGGCCTCCTTTACTGAAACTGATTTTTTTTGGTGGAGTGGGGTGGGGAGGAGAAAGGAAAGGGGAGGGAGGGAAAGAGGGAAGGAGGGCAGGCGGGAATGCCTGAGATTAATTTTGATAGGATGCCACGCATCTATTAGAAATCCAATGAAAATTGTGAGTGATTGATAAAAGGCTGTAGAAGAATTTGCTCATTATATCAACATTCTTTTTATGAAGATCCCTCTCTGAGGCCGGGCACGGTGGCTCACGCCTGTAATCCCAGCACTTTGGGAGGCGAAGGCGGGCAGATCACCTGAGGTCAAGAGTTCGAAACCATCCTGGCCAATATGGTGAAACCCCATCAGTACGAAAAATACAAAAATTAGCTGGGCGTGGTGGCGCTTGCCTGTAATTCCAGCTACCTAGGAGGCTGAGGCATGAGAATCCCTTGAACCTGCGAGATGGAGGTTGCAGTGAGTTGAGATTGTGCCACTGCACTCCAGCCTGGGCAATAGAGTAAGACTCTATTTTTTAAAAAAAGAAGATCCGGCCCGGCGCAGTGGCTCACGCCTGTAATCCCAACACTTTGGGAGGCTGAGGCAGGTGGATCACGAGGTCAGGAGATCGAGACCATCCTGGCTAACACGGTGAAACCCCGTCTCTACTAAAAATACAAAAAATTAGCTGGACGTGGTGGCGGGTGCCTGTAGTCCCAGCTACTCGGGAGGCTGAGGTAGGAAAATCGCTTGAACCCAGGAGGTGGAGGTTGCAGTGAGCGGAGTCCGCGCCACTGCACTCCAGCCTGGGCAACAGAGCAAGATTCCGTCTCAAATAAAATAAAATAAAATAAAATAAAATAAAATAAAATAAAATAATAAAAAAAGAAGATCCTCCTCTGAGAGAAATTTCTGTTTGGTCTTAGTACCAAAAATAGTTAATGGTTTGCTTTTATCTTGTGGAAATTAGCATAATTTTTAAAACTGAAAGACACAGAATTTAGTAACTAAGTTTCCCCTTTTGAAAAGCATATATCGGCTGGGCGCGGTGGCTCAAGCCTGTAATCCCAGCACTTTGGGAGGCTGAGGTGGGTGGATCACGAGGTCAGGAGATCGAGACCATCCTGGCTAACACGGTGAAACCCCGTCTCTACTAAAAATACAAAAAACTAGCCGGGCGTGGTGGCGGGCGCCTGTAGTCCCAGCTACTCGGAGGCTGAGGCGGGAGAATGGCGTGAACCCGGGAGGTGTGGCTTGCAGTGAGCCGAGATCGGGCCACTGCACTCCAGCCTGGGCCACACAGCGAGACTCCGTCTCAAAAAAAAAAAAAAAAAAAAAAAAAAAGAAAAGCATATATCTTGATTATAGACAAGTGTATGTATACACACAAACACACACAGTTGGTTAAGACATGTATTTTCTTACTTCCATTGTATGTTCCCATCCTTGTCTGTCTTTACTGTTTAGTTTCCACTTTTAATTTCTACCTTGCTAATATATTTTACGTATTTTTTGTAAGCGCTCCTAAATTTTTTCTAAAACAAGGAAAAGTATAAATAAATAATGTAAATAAATTTATATTATCTATATATAACCATTTGAGTATCCCTGTATTAGAGGAGAAACTTTTTCTTTTCTTTTTTTGTTTTTGCTTTTGTTTTTGAGATGGAGTTTCACTCTTGTTGCCCAGGTTGGAGTGCAATGGTGCTATCTCAGCTCACTACAACCTCCATCTCCTGGGTTCAGATGATTCTCTTGCCTCAGCCTTCCAAGTAGCTGGGATTACAGGCGTGCACCACCATGCCTATTTTTAGTAGAGACGAGGTTTCGCCATGTTGACCAGGCTGGTCTCGAACTCCTGATCTCAGGTGATCTGCCTGCCTTGGCCTCCCAAAGTGATAGGATTATAGGCATGAGCCACTGCACCCAGCTGAGGAGAAACTTTTTTTTCTATATCAACAGAAAAAATACGTTAACTGTGATCTCTTACAATGAAATGTAGAGACCTAGAATTAACTCCACGTATGTTTCCCCCTTAGAGGAAACAAGAACAGAGATGTGGGCAGAGAGGAAGAATACATTTAACAAATAGAAAGGTATCAAAATACCGTTGTGGCTGTACTTTTGGTTATAATAGTTAAGAGATAATCTGATGCCAAACAATACATTATCTGCAATTTCCTCTAAAATAATCAAAATGCTTATGTTTATAATTTTTCTGCTAACCTAGACAACTCTTTATCAAAACTCACCACAAATAAATGAATACACATTTTAGTTACAATACTATAATTTATTTATAAATAAAATTAGAATATATGTCAATAAAGAAAAAATCAGTATAATATAATCAGAATTATATATACTTATAAATAGGCTTACGGATACAATTTTAATACAGTATTGAAATTTGTCCAGTTAATACACTTTAGTCAAATCTGAAAAAAATGCCTACAGTAAAACATCATTAAATGAGAAATTCAAAAAATAAAAGACTACTAAACAATATTTTGAACCAAAATGCAGAAAATATTTCCTCAGCCATTAACACAAAAAAAAAATTAAATTTTTTTTTTTTTTTTTGAGACGGAGTCTCCCTCTGTCACCAGGCTGGAGTGCAGTGGTATCATCTCAGCTCACTGCAACCTCTGCCTCCTGGGTTCAAGCAATTCTCCTGCCTCAGCCTCCCAAGTAGCTGGGACTACAGGCGCGTGCCACCATGCCAGACTAATTTTTGTATTTTCAGTAGAGACGGGGTTTCACCATGTTGGCCAGGATGGTCTCAATCTCCTGACCTTGTGATCCACCCGCCTCAACCCCCTAAAGTGCTGGGATTACAGACATGAGCCACCGTACCCGGCCAACTCAAAATTGTTTTTATCACTGATGTAGCTTGGGAGAGGAAAAAGAGTCCCTCACTGGGAAAGAAGTGGTTCATCTTGGACAACCATACTCAAGTCTGTTGGACAGTACTATTCAATTTCTTACAAGATACACTATGATTTTAGGTAAGCCACACAATGCACTATAGTTGTAACACAAGGTGATTTGGTTGCATGATTGTATTAACAAATGCTCTAATATCCATAGCATTCCATGAGGCTTATAATAATGATTTTTAAAACCCTCATCAAACAATCACAACAGTAACCTTAGGAAACCACTGAAAAACTATGACTAACAAAAGGTAGGGGGAGAAAAACCTAAACACACACACACACACATATATATGTATATACATACACGCACTCTACTTAGAAAAGCAACAACGATAATGTCCTAACAAATGTAATACATATAGCACAAGGTTTTTCATAAGAAATTTTCTCAAAACATTAAAATACAAAGAATATTTTCCTTTCCCACATTTTAAGATTTGTTTAAAACAATGAAGCATTCTGATAGTTAAATATTCATTACCATCTATGGTTTGTATATAGAGTAGGCATGGTCCCTTTCCTCAAAAAGTGTGAATGTTACGTAACAGTGAACAATCCAAGCTAGTAAATAATTTTATTTTTAAATTGTTTTTTTTTTGAGATGGAGTCTCACTCTGTTATGGAGGCTGGAATGCAGTGGTGTGATGTTGGCTCACTGCAACCTCTGTCTCCTAAATTCAAGTGATTCTCCTGCCCACCACCACGCCCGGCCAATTTTTGTATTTTTAGCAGAGATGGAGTTTTGTCACATTGGCCAGGTTGCTCTCGAACTCCTGACTTCAAGTGATCCGCCTGCCTTGGCTTCCCAAAGTGCTAGAATTACAGAAGTGAGCCACGGTGCCCGGCCTAAGCTAGTAAATAATTAAGAATGACAATTAATACTAAAGAATTTAAAGAGAGAAATAGGTAAAGGCTAAAATAATCATTAGATAATTTATACAAAAGATATGTAGGACTTGCATTGGGATTTGAAGAATAGTTAGAAATGGTAAGTAGAAGAAAAAAGTAACATATACGAAAAGGAAATACAAATGGGTAAAGGGAGAGCTAAAAAAAAATTCTGGAGTATCTGTCGAAAGTAGGAAGACTAGGCTAACAAGAATGAAGATGAGTTTGAGAAAAGTAGGAAATAAAGTAGGACAAGGTAGGATGATACCAGATTATGAAAGGCCTTTGAAACTAGCTACAGTGGCTAAATAATGTGGAAAAAATAACACAACTTAATTGAGCACTGAGAAAAGACAATTAAAACAATCTTCAAATACAAGTAGCCTTAGAAAAATATACATTAGGGACCAGAAATGAGAGAGTCAAAGATGTTAGGGGGCAGGCTATTCCTGTAATCAAGCACAAGAGGACAAAGGCCTATTGAAAAATGGGCCAAAAAGAAAAAGATACTTTAAAGGAAAAACTAAAAGAATCTGGTGACTACTTCAGGGTGCAGTGGCTCACACCTGTAATCCCAGCACTTTGGGAGGCTGAGGCAGGAGGATCACCTGAGGTCGGGAGTTCGAGACCAGCCTGGCAAACATAGCAAAACTCCGTCTCTAATAAAAATACAAAAATTAGCTGAGCATGGTGGCACATGCAAATAGTCCCAGCTACTCAAGAGGCTGAGGCAGGAGAATTGCTTGAACCTGGGAGGCGGAGGTTGCAGTGACCTGAGACAGCGCCACTGCACTCCAGCCTACATGACAGAGTGAGACTCCGTCTCAAAAAAAAAAGAATCTGGTGACTACCAAATGTGGGAAAGGAAGAAATTAGTACAAAACTTTATGCCCGGGTATCTAAGGAAATGGTATTTGTCATTACACAGACATGGAATTTTGGAAGTGGAGCCAGTTGTGGCATGGTAGATGATTTCAGTACGGGATATGGTGAATTTGAGGTGAAATTCAAATAAACCTTCAAGCAAGTAGCCAGATATCTGGGACAAGAGGAAGGCAGAATTCAAAATTTGGCCTGGTACAGTGGTTCACACCTGTAATCCCAGCACTTTGGGAGGCCGAGGTGGGTGGATCACCCCAGGAGTTCGAGACCAGTCTGGCCAACATAGTGAAATCCCATCTCCGCTAAAAATACAAAAAATTAGCCAGGTGTGGTGGCACATGCCTGTACTCCCAGCTACTTGGGAGGCCGAGGCACAAAAATCGCTTGAACCCAGGAGGCAGAAGTTGCAGTGAGCTCAGATTGCACCACTATACTACAGCCTGGGGGACAGAGTGAGACTCCGTCTCAATAAATAAATAAATATAAAAACTGGTGATACGGACTTGGAAATCATTTTTATAGACATGAGTTGAAAGTCAACAAAGTAGGTAAGTGCTCCAAAAGACAAAATACAGAGAGAAAAAAGACAAAGTCAGAAAGTGAGCCTTAAAGAATTTTCTACTGATAATATGAAAAAAAAATAAGTGCAAGCAAAGAAAGAAAATAAATGGTTGAAAAGTTAATAGTAGAGAAACATGATAGTGAAGTTTCATGGACTATGAGGGAAGAGAGTTGCAAGAGAAGAAATAATAGTGAAATGTAAACAGATTTATATAACCTCTGCTTTAACAAAGCTTAGAATCTCTAATAATTCAACAATACATGAAATCAGATTTAACAAAAACACAAACAAAATATTGTAAATATAGCCTATATTAGTTGTACTCAAAAGTGGCATTTGGGGATGACCTGTGGTTATAAGCAGGTTAAGTAATTCTAGGTAATAATTATTTTTAACTCACCTCACAGCTCCTAAGACGGCAGGCCCATATAGGTGTGTTAGAAGAAAGTGGCTGAAGAGGCGCCAGAAGGGGTTCTTCCAGCATTCTGGGATAGGAGAGGAGTATATATAAACATGCAGTTCAATGAACACACAAAATGCATTCAACTGCTTTATCCTCTTAGTATCAAAGACAAATATTGAGGTCATCAATAAGAAGTTTTAACAATAACTACAGATTGGTCTGATGGGTGCATTAGTTATTATTTTCTTTAACAATTACTATTTTATTAACTACTAAGTCAAAGACCTAAGTTTGTTCTTCCAGATACATGTAGTTCCAACAAATTCAAGTGTTTTATATATCTCTCCCAAAGCTTATTTTGTGCTCTTAATATATAACTGTTTTCATTTATCAAAAAAATGTTAAATTTGACTAGTTTAAAGTAACATTATGTGTCACTTCTTGGCCTTTTGGCTAAGATCAAGTGAAAAGTAACATTATTAAGTTCTAAGATTAAATGTCAAAAATAATATCTTAATTCAAAAATACTTTTATGGAACAATTAAAATAATATAAACAATACATAAGCCATGTACATATTTCCCTAAAATATCATAGTATTATTTTAAAACAAAAACAAAAACTGAAAAAAAAGTTGGCAAAAAACATTTTAAACATTTTACCACAGAGGAATTCTATGCATAAAAATGTGATAAAACACCTTTAAAACTTTAGGAACCATAATGAATGTTTTTTTTCGTTTTTGTTTTTGTTTTCAAGACAGAGTCTCACTCTGTCACCCAGGCTGGAGTACAGTGGCGCAATCTCCGCTCACTGCAAGCTCCGCCTCCCAGGTTCACGCCATTCTCCTGCCTCAGCCTCCCAAGTAGCTGGGACTAAAGGTGCATGCCACCACGCCCAGGTAATTTTTTTTTTTTTTTGTATTTTTAGTAGAGACAGGGTTTCACTGTGTTAGCCAGGATGGTCTCAATCTCCTGACCTCGTGATCTGCCCACCTTGGCCTCCCAAGGTGCTGGGATTACAGGCATGAGCCATCACATCTGGTCTTTTTTTTTTTTTTTTAAATGGAGTCTCGCTCTGTTGCCCAGGCTGGAGTGCAGTGGTATAATCTCAGCTCACTGCAACCTCCGCCTCCCGGGTTCAAGCAATTCTCTGCCTCAGCCTCCCAAGTAGCTGGAATTACAGGCGCCCACCACCACACCCAGCTAATTTTTGTATTTTTAGTAGAGACGGGTTTCACCATCTTGGCCAGGCTGGTCTTGAACTCCCAATCTCATGATTTACCTGCCTTGTCCTCCCAAAGTGTTGGGATTACAGGCGTGAACCACAGTGCCTAGCCATGAATGTTTCTTTATTCTAAAAAGTCTGTTAGTGTCAGACTAAATGAACTAATACAATTTTCATACTGTTTCAAAAGATAACAGATGTCACTGAGGAAAAGGAGCACTTTTGACATTTATAGCTTCCAAAGTAGCCTCCTTATGACCCAGATGCCTTAAAATAACTAAAGATATATTCAATGATAGTTCCTTCCATTTTCTGATTTTCTCTATAGTCAGCCAGCTTTTTTTTTTTTTTTTTTTTTTTTGAGACGGAGTCTCGCTGTGTCGCCC